ACTAAACCTAATAGTATTTTTTATATTTCTGACTCATCTTGGTATGTTACATTTTTCATTGTATTTGCTTTGCAGAACTCTAGTTTTTGCTGCTTACCTTATTTTATATGTTGTATGTTCTGTATCATGTAACCATCTCTTTATAATTTTTCTTGCTTCTGCAACAGTTTTCAGCTCCTTCTGGATTCCCGAGTGTTTTCAGACCAGCTGAAAGAGAGAATTTGTCCAGCATGTCCTGAGTTGGCCTTGAGGCCTCCTCTCAGTGGGGCATGCATAATAGTGTTCCAAAGGAAGCCTCCCTGGGCTTTATCATGTCCCGAAAACATCTCCTCTCAAGCCAGAGGAGTAGTAGTTCTACTTTAAGGCCCTCCTGTAGAGTTGAGTCCATTGCCTTGTCTCTGAGAGTAAGTTCAGCCACCTTGAAGGAAAAACTGATTTCCATCACTTATACCTATGATATGATATCCTTTCAGTCATTACCTAAGCTTCATTACTATAGTTGAGGAGGGGGATGTAGATTGCACTGCAAACCAGTAACTTTGAGAACTCAGCTCTTGTTTCTCCACCATGTGTAAGGGGACTGTTAGCCCCTTACTAAAACTCAGTGGGAGTTTTTGGTTGGCCAGCTCCCAGTACCAAAAGGGGAAGAGTCCATGAGAAATCAGGGCCCTGAGACTGACAGTCCCCAGGGAAAATGGGAAGAGGCCAACACTCCAGGTCAGCCTGATTGACTGGTTGGGCAGGCCAATGAGGGAATTAGAAGGCCAGGTCCCGTCCTCTGTGTGAGCTGGGATTTTCTGGGTCTCTGAGTCAAAAGGGGAGAGAGCTAAGAAGAGCAGCAAGAGGTCCAAGCTGTGCTGAAGAGCAGACCTGCAGTGACAGAGCCAGAGGCCATACAGCCCACAGAGCACAGACCCTGTGCTAAGAAGTAGATCTGCAGTGACCAGACTCAAAGGGGTCAGAGAAACAACACAAGAAGCTGGAGGCTGACAAAGCAGCATAGTCTGGAGCTGGGACCAGCAAAGGGGGGGGGAAAAGAGGCTCTGGGCAGGAAGATGCCACCAGCCAAGAGGCCCTGCAGGCCAGACTTGGAGAGGGATTGTAACTCCAACTGGAAAAGGGGTCCTACCACCTAGAGCCTGAAGTTGTGTGGTCACTGCCAGATCAAGCAAGTCCAACCTGCAGCTCCCCGCAGCACAGCCAGGAACTGAGAGAGAGCCCTGGGACTTATAAGGAACAGACTGTGGACTGTCCTTACACTCTGCAAACTGCTGTTTGTGATGTCCCCGTGCTACAGAGTGGGACTGTGTGTTCTCTTTTAACCTTTCTCATTTTTTCCTTATTCTTTTCTTTTTAATCAGTTGCTGTTTAATAAATTGTATTTGCTTTGAACTGTGTAATGATCAGTGGGTCAAGAAAGCATCCAGTGTGAAGAGAACACCCCAGAGTGGGGACACCCTAACACTTGCCCTAAGTGACTACAAGGTCGGGGATTGAGCCCTAGAAAACCTGGGCTCAGAGTTTTTGTGATTTTTGAGGACTCTGCTACTCGGGAGAGTGGAAGGGGAGCCCTCAGACAGGGAGGTCTTTGGGTAAAAGAAGTGGGAGTGGGGACTCAGATCCTTTTGCTGGTTCATTTCACTGGGGTAGTATAGAAGACAAGAAAGTCCCCCACAATAGCGGGACCATTCCCCCGCTTACACATGGGTCAGAACAGTGCCTGCATCGCCGCTGTTGCATCAATCCACTGGTCAGGTTCTCACTTGTGCTTACTATCACTTGTGAACAAGACCCATAGGCACTCAAACTCTTCCACTAAGGACAGCTGCTCTGTCATTGCCTGGAGGAAAAAGTCCATTTTCTTTTGGGAGAGAACCATGACCTCTGATTTGAAAGTGCTGAATCGCATCCAGGTAACTTCAGATTTGGCAGTGAAACATTTGAGTGTGCATCTAAGATGAGAATCTGAACAAGCAAGGAGGATAATATTATATACAAACAACAGTGATACTGAGTCCCCATACCAGATGTGCTCCAGAGTTTGGCTGCATCTTGAAATCCTGTCCATGAAAATCACGAGCAGGAGCACAGACAAGATGCAACCTTGGCGGAGTCTAATGCTCATCTTGAATGAACTGGACTTAATGCCAAGAATACAGATGCAACTCACTTCATGAATAGCAGGACAAGATAGCAGGACAAACGTGGCATTGGCACCTCATAGTCTTGCACCACTTCCCACAAGACATCTCCAAGAATATGGTCATATATTTTCTCCAGATCTACAAAACAAAGATAGACCAGATTAGCAAACGCTCATGACCTCTCTAACATCTGCATGAGAGCAAAGAGCTGGTCTGTTTTTCCATGGCTGGTACTGAATCTGCATTGTTCTTCCTGAAGCCAAGGTTTAAATAATGGGTGTACCCTCCTCTTCAATACCCTGCCATAGTCTTAGCTGAAGAGGCTGAGCAGTGTGATTTTTTTTTTTTCTTCCCTCTTCCCTGCTCCTCCCTCCCCCCAAAGGTGGAATACACTCGCTGGTCTCCTTTCTTAAAGATGGGTACCAGTTTTCAGGTCCAAAGATATTGCCCCTGCCTTCCATGCAACATGTTAACCACAATACTTAGACATTGTTCACCGATTTCCAGATATCTGGACAAATCTCATACACCGCTGCTGCAAAGGCACATTATTATTGTAGCAACTTCAAAAACAGAAAGAGATCTGATTTCACTGTGGGTTTCTGGCACTGTCTCCTGAAAGGGGGGCATGTCCACCAGGTTGAGGAGTTCCTCAAAGTGCTCCTTCTATCTCTCCTCAGTCGAGGTCAGTGCTTCACCACCCTTGCTAAGAACAGCCAGGGCAACATCCCACAAACCCCTACTAAGACAATGAATGGTTTGCCAGAATACTTTTGAGTCCAGTCGGTAGTTTCTCCATGGTCCTTTCAGACTTCTCCGAAGCCCGTGCTTTCACCTCGACAATCACCACAGCTACAGCCCTCTTCACTAGGATGATGATGTGGTTCTATCCCAGAATGGCAGCAGGAGGGATGGACCACAATGGACTGGCTCTGAACAATGGAAACTAGCTTGAAATTTTTCTTTTGAGTTTTATGTTTATTTGTAACAAAAATGTGAACATAAATTATCACAAAATAAAAATATTTTTATATCACACATTTTCAGTTAGAGATTAAAAGACCTTTATTAGTTTATAAATTGTAAAGCTATTCATATTTTGTTATATATTGTAAACATGTTTGTCCTGTTGAACACAAAAATATATAATGTGACCTTAGCAGTCCCTATAGCACAGTTGTCAATCTGGAAGAGCACAAAATATAGAGAATCCCACTGTGATGAATAATGTAATCCTGCTGAGAGGAAAAGTTGTAAACAGTTCATCCTTTAGGTGAATCAGTTGTTATTCCTGTGGCATAACTTTCCAAGTGAGGGGGATAAAAAATGTAAAAGGTCCACATTAATCAGTTAATAATACGCTTTTTCTGTAAACATTGTATTAATATTTTGCAAAATGATTTCTAAAATATTTGTTAAATTATTAATTTACTGCAATTAAAATCATAAGACAAGATAGTGTAAACCTACAGTTAACTGAAGCAGGCACTAAATTGAAGAAGACATTAGCTTCAGTTTCTATGTTGGTTCAGCCTGACTATTCATAACCATTTATGTTGGAACTAGCTGCTACAGCAGAAGCGCTGGCACATGCTCTGGGTCAGTATAGGAATTCACTTGTTACTTGGAGCCCTAGTGTTCATGCATCTCAAATATTAGCTACTCTAGAACAAATATACTTAGTGTAAAGAACATAGAGTGGCTACATTTGGAGCTGTTAAGAATTTTGCTTATATTGCCTTTGATTATCAATATCCTTCACACTGTTGGGCAGTTCTTATTATTGGCTAAGTATTAAGGGAAACCCCCCAAAAGGGATTAATCTGTTACTTAATCACAATAATGATAAAGCTGGAAATCATACTATAGCTAAGGCACTAATGTACAATGCAATAGGTTCATAATAGTAGCCCAATGTATGAGAGTCTGTAACGCTGAAATGCTGGCTGTTCCCTCTGGGCAGCACTGTTGCTGAAATGCTGGCTGTTCCCTCTGGGTGGCCCGTGCTGCATGGGTAGTGTGGGGCCCACACGGCTGCTTGTGCCGCTTGCTCCCCCCTGACGGCCTGGCTGAGTGGCGCAGAAGTCAGCTGAGTGTCATGGCGGGAGGGGAAGGTGGGTGGGGTCTGGCTGTGTGTGTGACCCTCCCCCCCCAGCAGACCAAGGGGACAGGAGCAAAGCCGCCCAGGCGGCGGGGGTCCCGGGCAAACGAGCAAAGCTTCTCCAGGGAGACAGGAGCAAAGCCACACGGGCGGCAGGGTCCCTCCGCCTGTGTGGTTTTGCTCAGGTCTCCCTGGTCTGCTGGGGGGGGAGGGGGCGCAGCTAGTGCGCCCCCCACCCCAGCAGACCAGGCTTTCGTTGTGGGACGCCTCGGGTAGAGCAGCGGGGGTGCTGTCGGGTTGGTCCTGTGGGAACCTACCGGGCAGCGCCCCAGCTGTTCTGCGCTGTTGAAACTGATCAGGCTGATTCCAGGAAGCTGGGGGCAGAGCAACTCTGCCTAGGGCTTCCTGTAGTCAGCCTCTGATCAGTTTCAGCAGCGGCTGAATCTGGAGAAAGTTCCGACTGCCTGTAATCTCAAAGATTATCACAGCTAGAGTTCAGAGGATATCAGTGTTAACTCTTTACTAAAGACTTGCAAGTTTGTTTTTTCACTTTCCCTTCCAATAATTGAAAAGGATGTTTGAGATAATAGTACATGTTTGTTCACTTTGAAGACACTATTTTTAAATGATGTGTCAGTGTCTCCCAGATGCTAGTAAGACATGTGGATGTTGGCAGACACCCCTTCTGGACTGCTGCACGGAAGTGCAAGCCAAATGGATGGGGCAATGCCATGCCTTAAGGGCTATATAACCTATCTGCGATATAGATCATAATGAGACAAGAACTCAAGAAAGGCCTTCTTTCAACTGCTCGGTATGGCTGAGAACCTGGAATGAACATAAAATATGCCACCCATGTGGGTAATGCAAAATACTGTCTCGTCACACAACAGTTAAAATGCAGTTATGTAGGAAAAGTATGCCCAATTAGTTCAATTACTGTTCAGAATTCAAAAGTGTAATTGGTTTAGTCAAAAATCATACCTATACCCACCGTTGTTGAACCAGTAGTAAAAAAAATAAATAAATCAGCCAAGCTTTGGTCATCGGGCTTTGCAGTTTCTCCTAACTTTACAATACATATTGCTAAAGTAAATACAGCAAACAATCAAATTGAACAAGAATTGTAGCTAGTTAGCTGGGGAGATCAAGTAAATATAGTGGGGAAACATCCAACTGTGACATATAGTTTTAAGATACATTTTTATGGATATAAGTGTTTGTAGTTTTAGGAGGGCTTATAATGTGTTGTGAGATAAGGCTAATGCTAAAGGCTTGGCCAAAGAAACATGAAAGAAAACAAGGTTTGACCCATATCCCCATACTCCATTGTGTAAAATAAGAATCACTCTGGAAAATACTATATTTCCAAAGGTGACTGAGGGATGACTGTTGGGGAATGATAATTATTTCAGTCTTAAATTTAAGATACAGTCAAAATGCAAGACAGGGAAAATTACTACTAAGTGTTTTTTTTAATTGCTTTTTTTGGGGGGGGTAATGATTTGCATACATAAGGCTGGACTTTGAGTGAGAGAGGCCTTTGGAAACCTATGATTAAAGAAGTTAAATGATGACATTTTGGGTTTAGAGTGCTCTTTAACTCTCCCATTTGAGTGATAATACATGCATAATGAATTGAGATATTGAAATATAAAAATGATAAATTGCTAAATAGTAAGATTAAAAGTGTTTTGTTTTTAGTGAGACATGTATGATTCTCCCCTTTCCCCCCAATTGTATGTGTTCCCTAAACATATTTACTGATTCCCCCCCAATTGTGTGTGTTCCCTAAACATATTTACTATGTTTATTTTATAGACTTGACTGTAATGGTTACTTAGTAATTCCCAAAAGAGAGTATATGCCTGCAAATGTAGCATATAGCATTTTTGATATGGTCAATTATACTCGTCGGTAGAAATTAATTAATGTGCTCAATTTTTGACTACAAGTTATTTTCAGTCCACTTTTTAAACTGTGGTAATGAGTTCAGGGTCTAATAAATTGAGCTCATAGCTGAAGTCGTTAGGGGGGAAAAAACCAGATTTATTTCTCCCTCTCCTATTAAAAAGTTCATTATTTCATAACATAGTCCTTGAATATGAATGCTGTGTTTTGTACAGTACTTGCATACTTTTATTCTAAATTATGCATTTAAGTTGTGCTAAAAACATACTCTTTCCAGTACGAATGTCAGAATCTGCTTCATAACTGAGGTTGAAGGTTATGTATGATTTATTATCAGCTTGTTTGTTTTCTGTATTTTTACCTCCCACGCCCATCTCCTCTATTGCATTCCCTCCATCCTTCTCAGAGAAGAATTTTGTCCTAACGATTGAGGGAAGATATGAAGATCATATTGAAAGGAAGAAAAGGTAAAAGGAATAGGAGGAAATGATAGAGGAAAGATATTAAAATGATTTCAGAGTAGAATGAAAAGCTCTCATTCACACAGCTAATAGTCCCCATGTGTCTGTTTCTGGTTTCAGTGAAATTCCTTTAAGAAATAGTGTCAAGAACACTGTCCATGTATTTGGAGGATGTAGTTCTGAGCATCCTTATTTTGGAATCTTTTAAATGCCAGTTCAAATTCAGCAAGTTACTGAAGATATTAAAATGATTTCAGAGTAGAATGAAAAGCTCTCATTCACACAGCTAATAGTCCCCATGTGTCTGTTTCTGGTTTCAGTGAAATTCCTTTAAGAAATAGTGTCAAGAACACTGTCCATGTATTTGGAGGATGTAGTTCTGAGCATCCTTATTTTGGAATCTTTTAAATGCCAGTTCAAATTCAGCAAGTTACTGTGATTTAACCCGAGTTACTAAGCTATTTTACCACTGTGAGTAATCAACCATCCAGTGGCAGTGATGCATCCAAACTATTTCAAGTCTGCCATTCAGTGTACTGAGAGCATATATCCTCTGTATTCATCTCCATCTCCTATCTCAGAGTTCCAGGGTCAGCTTCTTTGGATGAGAGGGGTGAGAGGATTTGTTTTTCTCACTGGGTTTTAACTGTGGGTGGAACTACTGAGGCTCCTGTTGATAGAGTTAGAGCCACTGTAAAATCTACTCCGCTGCTGGTTAGCAGTTGAATTGGCTCCTCCTCTGAATTGCTGACTTTATCCCTTACCTGTGGTAAGATGTGAGTTCAGTGGAGACTCAATTACAGGCTTCTGGCACATGATGGATTGAAGAAGAAAAGAGTATTTGGCCTCCTGCTTTCCTCAGAAAGGAGAGGGGGAGGAACATCAGAGGGAGCAGAAAGGGAATGAACTTAAGTAGAGGGAGAGGGGGAGAGAGAGTGAGTGTGGCAGGGGAGGACTGGAGAGAAAGTGGCATACTGAGGGTATATCTACACTGTGGGATATCCCGGAAAAACTCCGCCGGGTCAAGGGAATTTTTTTTTTTTAAAGAAGTACAAATGTGCTCCTTCGGAAGCCCTGTTTTCCTCATTCCATGAGGAAGAAGGGTTCTTCCAAAAGAGGGGGATTTTCCAAAATTTGGCCCAGTGTAAATGAGCCAAATTTCGGAAAAGTTTCTTCTGAAAAAAACATCAGAAAGAGGTACACGAAAAACGGAGAACATTTTGAGTTGCTTTTTCCGAAATACAGCTGTAGTGTAGACTGAGCCTGAATGAGACCCAAGGAGCTGGAGAGAACAGAAGAGGGGGAGAGACCACTGAATACACAGAGCAGGGAGATGGACACAACAAATAGGACAAATGAGAGAGAGAAAAGGGCATGGAGAGTGATGGAATGGGTCTTGAAATAGGAGAGAAAAATAGAAAAAAGGAAGCAAAGAAAAACCTAGAGAATGTTTAGGTTAATGGATGTTGTTCCAGTTATGCCTTATTTTTTTATTATTATTATTATTCTGGTAGATATTAAGGGTTTTTTTCTAAATGTTGGGAGTAGGATGGCCTGACCATTTGGACCACTTTTATTATGTTAATAGTGCTGGCAGCTTTGGATTCTGCAGTTAAATAACTCACAAAAAAGACAAAAATGAAATGTATCAATGCAAAGAGAAAGCCAGCTTCATTCTTTAGAAAGTTATGATGTTGCTTGCTTTGAGAGAGGGCTGCTGATGAGGGGAGGGAGCAAAGAGGTAGCTGCTCTGGGTCCCAGTGATTTAAAATGACTTGGAGCTTTCACCTTCTGCCTCAACTGCAGCAGAAGTGGACCCCAGAGTCCTGGATTCTTTAAATTGCTGCCAGAGCTCTGGACAGCATGGGCTCAGCCTTGCCCCTTCCACACAATGTCTTGTCCCTTTCAGGGGCCTGGAGCTGTGTCCCTGCATCTAGTCCTGGACCCAGCAGTCCTGTCAGCAGATGTACTTTGAGAATATCTCCTCTCTCTTTCTCCTTCAGGAGAGACCTGAAAGATTTAAATGATATAGGGGAGCAGAGGTAGGCCTGTACTCTTATATATGCTTATGGTATATGTCTCATATTTTGTAGTTTTATATTGATCTAAAAATCATGACTAGACAGGGAAGGATACCCTATTTGCTTGGGCATTTGTAGAATGCTGTTTGCCGTAGTATCTGCTGACTATAGAGGCAAGCCAAAGTGCTTTCCTTTCTCTAACAATGTCAGATAGATCGTAGATGTTAGCAACTTTGTGCTGTGAAATTTTTACCAAATTATCAGTAATACGACTGTGGCACTATAGATAGAGACTTGAGTAGTGAATATAAATTAAACTGTCAGCAACAAAATGAGAGTTTTTTTGTTTAGCTCTCAACAACAGTACAAAGGTAGGTGAGTAGGAAGTATTTATGTGGTCATTCATAGCTGAAAAAGTAAAGACACCATATTATGTAAACAAATAGTAATAAATCTTTGC